GAACTAAGAAAACGCTTATCTCCCTGAGCCTGGCCTTCATAATTCCATTCCATCACAATTCACAAGAACAATCTGTTTTTCCTTCTTCCTTATGGAATTCCTATATTATGACAGTAATATAATTATTTTAATACTATTGCTGCTTCCATTCAGCTGACCATAAAAGAGGAAATTGAAGATGAAGAAAAGACTATTGAAGATTATGTTGATAAAAAAATTAGCAACTGGAATATCACATCAATTGAACAGATGTATACAATTGCTTCCCAGTGTCTGCATGAGAAGAAGAACCGGAGGCCAGATATTGAAAGGGTACCAGACTTTTAAATATAATGACACAATATATATCCTTTTGAATTTAGCCAGCATTAATTTTATATTCCTTCTGTTGCAGGTCAAACAACATTTAGAAGAAATGATCAAATAAGATCACTTCTGTATCTTGACTTGGTGTTTAAACAAACCTGTTTTTATATCCTAACTTGAATGTGTGTGTTCCTCTGTGGTGGTTATTCAGTGTTTTTTAAATGAATGCAGTAAGGCTTGTGGCCCTTCCTTTTGTTATCTTTCTTAGCAATATCCCAGTATTTCTTATTAAATCTAACAGAAACTTTATTCATAATTAAGATTACAGTATAGTGATAGAAACATATTTATTCAGTAAAAACAAGATGACATCTAGACAAAGTTCCTATAGTCACATTATCTTGTCTTTTTTAATCATGTATGTTTCTATTTTAAAACCAAATATATCTTTCATAATTTATTTTCAAAAACATTGTCTTTTCTAGTATGCTTTTTCCCTTAACAAATTTCTTAAACTAAGGGTATCCTAAATTAATTTTACCTTCAGAACCTTTAGTTTTATTTTTGTTAATAGTTGAATTTTATTATATTATGTAACTTCATTTCTATGATTGCGAAGAATGAAAAAAATGGGGTGGGGTGGAGAGGTCCGCCAAGACTCTTCAGTGTTGAAACATGTTTTGGATGGATAGTGGGGAGGAAGCTGTCTTTATTGTTTCATTTTAGCCTAGCAAAATTCTCATCGTGGGTTTGATGTTAAAGAAGGAGAGAGCTTTGTTACTTGTGGATTATCCCAAGGTTTATTATAACGATCATAGCGTTAACTCAAGGACTGATATCCTCACCATTTGAACTAAGAAAAGGTCTCAGGAAAACCTGGATCTAGAAAATGGGGAAAGGAAAGCTCATATATTTATTGCTGGGGTGGTGTGTGTTTTAAGGAAAGCACTTAATAGTACTGAGAGGCCTCAAACTGCATGAGCAGATCTCAAAAGAGCTTTGATTTTCCTTGTGAATTAGGAATTTGGGCAGAAAGGGTCTCTTTCCCCAGTATCTACAAATGTACCACTTCAAAAGATTCATGTCTTTACATTCCAGCATGATCAACAATGCAAACGTTAATGTAGTGGGCAGGCACTGTTTTCCTCATGCATGTTCCTTCATTGCTCATCTATTTAATTGTTTAATAGTACTCATCATATTCTTAATGATTACACAACTCAGCTTATCTTTCTTCCTATATCACATTGTGCAGGTTTAAAATATACAACAGAAAGCACCTTTTCAGACATTAATTTATCACAGCTTAGTGATGAAATCACATGCACAATTACCAGGAAGTAAGTCCTAATAAATTCACAGGTGCTTATTTCCAAGTAGACAAGAGTATTTTTGCCTTACAGGGCAACCTTTGTGTACTTTGGACCAGTTATCCACTACCAAATGATCAAAACTTCACTTCCTTTGGTTCCAGGTGATGCCCTGTTTTTGAAGACAGAGTTATTATGGGCAAAAAGCCCTAAGGTATCCTAGGTATATTATTAGAAAAGTAAACAATTCTGTCACTACTACTATACGAAGTAGTAATTGTCAAGTTGAAGCTGTAGTGTTACATTCTATATAGCAGATACTGTGAAAAATCTGCAGAGACGATGGCAGTTTGCCTTCTAAGGAAATACTTATGTACCTTTTATAAATTAACTGACAATCCACTTTATCACTATATAAGTATTTTGAATTAAGGATAGCATCAGTGCTATTTCACAAATGATTCTCTGTTCATTCAAATTAAACCTGATTAATCATTTACTGTATTTATTGATACACATTTTAGATAGGAACAAGGAGAGAATAAAAAATAAAATTTGAAATTAACAAATTTTCTATAAATGTATAGCTTATGTATTTCGTACATTCAATGCTATAAATATGAAACCTGCATATTTACAAGGAAGCAAAAGCCAGTGGAGGTAAGAGCACTTCCCATAAACATATACATAAAAAGTGTACATTGAGATTACGTTAATGTTTTTATTTTGAGTGGATAGTTTTGTGTATTTGGTCCTCTTTAAGATTTCAACTGCAAACGGGCATGTATGGTTCTAATTATTCATCTGGCCAACACTAATAAGAAAGACTGCTTACATCAACTCACAGAAACAGTGTTCTATAGCACCAAAAGATTTGTTTTAACTCAAAATGTAGTCACAGACTGTGATAGTTTTATGATTTGAGACACTTCAGAACAATTGGCTTGAGAATATTTTAATTTTCTTAAGATACTAGAAATGCATTAGGACTCACATTTTTCCTTGCTTAACAATATTGGTACTAATAGTGACAAAGTAGCAGCTTTTCTGGAGAAACTGAATCCATTTACTTTGAAAAGGAAAGTTTGTACTGTGTTCTTTAAATAGTATATTAGTGACAGAATCATCCTAATGAATAGCATTTTCTTGTTTAAGCAGAAATGAAATTTATCTGAGACACAGTTTTTGGAAAAATTACTTTTTCAGAACAAACAAATGTATTGTTAGACAGTTACATGAAAATCTAGAGCTGGATTCCAGTATCAAATGAACTAGTTTTGTACAGCCTGAGTTCAGTGGAACTTGCTCTAGGCAATTTAGACTGTGGTACAAAATGTACATACAAGCCTGGCGAATAGGCTAGGGGTAAAGAAATCATGAAAAGATACAAGGCTTATTCTTCACCATTTTTTAAAGACATAGCCTGCTTAAGAAAGATAAGGGAAATGATCAAAGTACATTTTAGGAGGTCATTAAGAGAGACTGAAAAATACCATATACCTATCTATTACAAAAGTAACAGAGTAGTTAAGACTTTTAGAATAGAATTAATATTCTACAAGGTTGTGTTTTCGTTTTGAACGAATCTATTACAACCACAGGCTGTGGACCTTATAAGATCTATAGTGGCATAGCCAGATAAGTGCAATAGAAAGTAACTTATTTTCTGTTGGAAAAGATCAATGTGGAATGCTATCAGTTCATTATAAAGATTCTTTTGCATTCATACTCCCCCAGTCCCAATATAATGTTTTGCTTTTCTACCCAACAAGCCTGCAGCATTTAGTCAGTAGGTGTTTCAGTTTCAGCTGGACCTCGGATCAACCTTCGGATTCCTCTTTTTCCCACAGGCCCTTTCGGCTTAGGAAAACTCTGTTTGTGTGCATGTTGTTTGGGATGGACTTCTTCGTAGAGAAAATCAGCAGTTACCTCATCTCCATCTTCTATTTCAATCTGTCATGAAAGGAGGAGATGACAATCTAATTTTGAAAAAGGCTCTACCCAGCACACACATAAATATTAAAGATATAAATCTTGTATTGACCATTTTATATATTTAAAAAATCTTATTAAATCCTGTCACTTACATAATAGTCTAATCAGCAAAGCTACCTATGGCCATCTTTAAGCACCACATATATAATGGTAATAGTATATAAGAAAGGATAAATAATTGCAGAATTTTCTTACCATTTAAAGATTATTTTATTTTATTGTGATTATATTTGATAAAGGTTTATATATTAAAAACATACAGCCTAGTGAATGTATGAAGTCTTCCTACAGCTACTAAAATCAGTTAGTTTAAATCTACCCAATTCTGTACAGTATCATTTACATTTACTAGCTTGTATAATCAAGCCACCTCCTAATTAAGACAAGTGCAAGAATCCATATCCCACCCAGAATGGGTTTTCTCCCAACATATTGAAAGCGTTGTGAAAAAATGTCTAGTTTGGTGGCAGCATCTTGTCAATCTTGGCTGATACCAAAAAGCTAACAAATATAGACCAGGTTCTTGGATGGTACACTAGCAGAAATCTGTAGGAATTAGGAATTCAAAAAACATATTTTGGCTACGGCAGTTGCAAGCTGCTTTCAGAAAACTGTATGGTTGTATTCATAAAGATACAGAATCAAACTGAACTTGATATACATTAGGCATGTGCCAATCTGTCAAAATCAGCCCAGCACTGAAATATGGATGACTAAAAACTACTCTGGTCAGACTTATGTATCAGAAGACTTAGACTGGGTGGGCAACTCATGGCCTCCAACCTCTTTTTTCTATTTTAGAGGACCCCCACCTCCACATTTTCAAAATTAGGTGACAAATCACTGACCATTATTGCTATTTCCCAGTGGTTTCTCTGGTGAGAAAACCAACAAAATAAATTGTGCAAAGCTTTTAGGTAGGCTACCTTAAACAGATTTTCCCTGAAAACAGTCCCATCTACTTGTGGGATATACTCCATCTCCAGTAACTCCCCAAAAATAATTTAACAAAAAACTGCAGCTCCCAATCCCAAAACCTTGTCCAGCCCTAAACTACATGAACATGGATGAAATCAGAGATGATCTTTTGTATGCTTAAGGATTGATTGATTGAATTTATATGCCGCCCATCTCCCCCAGAGGGCAACTCGCATTTTTTCATTATCTTTTGCCCCAATTCGTTACATCAGAAAATGGAACTAAATTTGTATATGGTATTATCAAATACTATAGCACTATTGAATGATCCCACCATTGCCTGAATTGTTTAATAATTTTATATCATATACTGAGAATATTTCACAATGATGTGAAACAAAGCTTAAAATTTCTGTGCAAATGTTGTGGCATGTGGTAGTAACCATTTTCATTCTATTCATAAGTCATTTGGATTCAGTAATACATCTACTGAATATTGTCTCAAGTCTTCCTATCTTTGTAGAAAAGAGACATCATATACAGAGATCTCCATTTCAGGGATATGTCAGCAAAAGAAGTAGAGGGCCTGGAGCTGCAGTCTTACCTTTCTAATGATCTGCATCCACAGCTGTCTTTCTGCAATTTCTAGGAGAGGACTCTTGCAGCTAGAATAAAGCATCCGTTCTCGTATACTACACACGTAGCCAGGCATAGAGTAGATAAAAACTGCAAAGTATTTCAAGTAGTGATGTGTTATTCCAGATAATTGTTAACCAAGACTTGTAAATATCTACTGTAAGATTAGGCAGGGGTAACTTCTCTGAAGAAAGTGAAATGAAATGCTAAGCTGGCAAGCTTTAATAGGTAGGCAAAATCTTTTTCACGGATTCCATCCATATCAATCTTTTTGGAACCTACAATTTGATGGGCTGAATGAAGCTCTGGATAGGGCAAAATGAAACCTGGGTGGAAACAAAATATGTACAGAACTTTGCATTGGAAGCTCACAGCAGGAGTAGACATACATACATTCCTGCTGGCACCTTCTGAAGACTCTATATCTTGGGCAGGCTTAATAGCTATGTGCTTCTATTATAGTTATATATTTCTGAGTTAAGGGAGGGAATCATGTGGCTATCAGGCAGGGCCAGGAAAAGACACAGCTTCCTTTTCTTTGATCACTCTCTTTCTACTAAGAAAGTAAGCTGCAGGACAGGCACTGGTTGCTGTTATCAGAGAACACAACTTACCTGTTATACAGGTGCTCTGTACTTAGGCTAAGGCCACATTAATTGAAAAAATTAAGTACACTTTGTAGCTATGCAAATTATTGGCTCAAAGACCTAGCTAAGAAACTTCTAACAGTTGTCCACCCACATCAATGCCCAGAAGTATTTACATACCAATGGATTCCAAGTAGTCCCCTTCATGAGAGTGTTTGTAAAGGAAGAAATGGTATCGTGCAGAATCCTTAGGAATTCTTCTTGGCAAATCCTTCAGTTCAGTTGGAAGTGTACTGGCCAGGACAATAATTTCGTTGTTCATATCAATTTGCTGTGGACATATGTAATACTGATGGTTATAAAAAAGGTATACAATATATTCTTGATTCAAATGAAATACAAAATAATAATAAAACCCGGGAGGGGGTGGGAATTCAAACTTTCACTCTGCTTACAAAATGGTTTTTTGGGGGGGGGGGAATCCAAGGGAAACTTTTCAGTAAAAGGAAGCAGGGAGGTATTTTGTTGATTTTTCCATCTGTACTGCACTCATGTTTGGAAGGTTCCCAGCCACCAGAAACAGATTTTGATGTCAGGGTATGGGGATATTAATTTCTACTAAAAAAAACCCCCCATTAATGGATCAAATACTCTTTTGCAGCAGATACAACTCTGAATTCTAATTGTTAATATAATAACTCCACAGGGAATTTGTTTTCTTGTATTGGGGTGCAGTGTTTGAGTTCTGTATCAGTCTTATCATTCCACATGCAATGACGAGAAATGTATTATGTTTAAGGAATTAATTTATCTTACCAACTGCACATAATTCAGCTCCTTGTTTTTCAATTTTTCTAGTGCCTGGAGGGCATCCTGAGCTATTGGGAATGCAACTCCTTGCAAAGTTTGATGTTTAGTATCAACACTGACTTCAGTTTGTACCTGGAACACAAAATTTAAAACAGCTTCAAAAAAGGCAATTCTGTAATGCACATTTGTGCTTCACTCAAAGCACAAGAGAAGAAATTAGAATCTTCAATTACAGTCATAATTTTGAATGGTATGTTCTATCTGCCTTATGTTTAAAAGAACCTTCATAATTAAAAATGAAAGTGTCACTAAATTTGGATTGCACAAGAAGTTGGCACATGAGAGAAGAGGGGGGATTTGCTTCGATTTAAAGAACATGTGGCCAGAAATAAATCTTATTTAAAGTATTTACAATGAAAACACAAAGAGGTTAACTGTTAAGAAGAAACATGTCAGGGCTGCAGGAAATTTGACATCCAGTCTTTGCCTTAAATCCTCTAACAAAGAGTTTGGCTTCCAAAGCAAGATGCAATACCTCACTAATCTTGATTTGTCGAAGTTCTTCCTCAGCTGCCGTCAGAGGAGCAGGGGAAGATTGAGTCATCAAGAATTTCCGATAACCATTTAATGAAACATCATCCTGAAAGCACAAAACCATCAGTTTTTCATGACTGATTATTTCAAATTGCAACATTTGCTTCTGAAGCATTTCAATTCAGAATCACACTGCTTTATAATTAATTAAGGATGCAATCCTATGGCCCTAGCACATTGTTCCAGGGCCACCAAATTCTTTAGTTTGGATAATGCTCAGCCTCAGAAGAGCAAGCATCTTAGATTCTTTCTGTCTTGGAATACAAAACCAGCTTTATTGACATTTGACATTTAAAAGGCAGCGTGGCAAGGGAGGAAATAAGGAAATCTCAAATTGCCCTGAAATAATAATAATAATAATAATAATAATAATAATAATAGTAATAGTAATAATAATAATAATAAAAATAAAAAAACATCCAGGAAACAAACAAAAAATATTTCCTAAGCAAAAATAATATTTCAGCCACTTTAAGTTTCCCTGCTCCTCCCCAAGACATCAAATTAACACATGAAAATACAACTACTTGTTAGATTATCTCTTACAAACGGTTAAATTAGCTTCTATAGGATACATACCTTGTTTGTTCCAAATACTTCATCTTTAATATGCCCACCTCCAAATTCTTTCTTCAAAGTTGCCCGAGTAGCTGCATATAACATTTTCTGACGAACCTGGTTGTTATAAAAGGGATTAATTTGGATCTTTTAAATTGAATTAAATGAAAATTAAATGTAAAGCTACTTATCATATAGATTAAAAAACAATGCTTCCCTCTTTCTATTGTGACAGAAACATTTAATTTTAAAAATCTTTCTTGATTTCCCTTTTATTTATTATCAGTGGTTATATGACAAATATACAAAGTAATCCATAGATGTAATAGTAAAATGCTAAAATTGAGCTTAGGTGCGAAGACAACTGAGTCACTGATTTTTTTTACCAAAAAATATAATTTATCATTTATATAACAGTATTATTCATGTTATTTCACTCCCAACAAAAAGTTTATACCTTTAGGTACATTATTCACTACCCCCTAAATACTTTATTCATTAAAATATTCAGGCAATCTGGTGCTATCCAAATGGTTCAGACCACAATTCAAAATTCCCTAGTTACTGATGTTGCTAACTGGGACTGCCGGAAATTATAGTGCAAAATGTCTGGAAGGCTGTCAATCCCAGATGGAAGATTTCACATTTTCATACTTGAAACAAAAGTGTCTCATAGATCACATGGAACAGCTGAATCAGAATGCCTTAATGTAAGGATAAGGAACATCATCGTGCTTCACAAAGTATTGAATTATTATTTCCAGAATTCATTGGCACTGGCTATGCTGACAACACTTAAGAATTAAAGCCCCAAACATCTGGAGGGTGTCAGACTGCCAAGCCTGGTGAAACAAATGCCATAATCAAAAATGCACATGGACAGATGAGCATTTATTTCTATTTCAATTGGCACTATCCTTTCCACTGGGTGCCTGTTAGCCAAGAAAGATTGGACTTGAGGGTGGGGGGTGGGAAGGCGTGCACATGAATGTGTGATATGGGTAGTGTGGGAACAACCAAATAATAATTTGCAGCATAAGATGTGTTTAAAAGAATTAAATATATGCTTTGTTATCAGCGATTTACTTCTGTTACATACAGGAGAATGATCTGGTGACCATGCAACAAAGATCCATTCATATCCTTGGGCGTTCTGAGAATCTAATCTGTACAGTATATAACATGGCTGTCTGTCTTCAAGCAGAGGGAGAATAAAGGAATCATAATCCTTTTCCCAGGTTTCACCAGGCTGCTTGGCAGATCCCACAACAAGCTGCTCTGCAAAAATATATTAAAAATGATTGACAAACTATTAATGGCAGCAACATTTACATTATGATTCCTAGCAAACTACTACATAATGGACCAATAAATGAACAAAACAGTATTTCTCAACTTGGAGTCTTCCAGATGTGTTAGTTTCTAAGTCCTATTATCCCCAACATATCTGAAAGGCACAAGGCTGGGAACAGAATCCAGGAGCCATGCTGAATTCAGGAAAACCAGAATATAGCTATTAAGAATTCCTTAACAAAAGACAATTAAGGTAGAATAGAATTCAATCTCTGGCCCCTTTTTGAAATGTGACAGTAAGACAACAGAAAAGATTTAAGAGAGTGTATAGCTCAGGGTAGTGCCTATGTTTGGATGAAACACAATTAACTTAGCTGTGACTTACAATTAACCCAACTGACTGGATTTACACAAGCAACCGTACCACAAACTACTTACATACCTTAAGGCAGTGTTGTCCAAACTTGGCCACTTTAAGATGAGTGGACTTCAACTCCCAGAATCCCCCAGCCAGCAGGGCTGGCGGGG